CGCGGCCGCCCGTCAGGCAGAGCACCTTCAGGTTGTGGAAGGTCTCTTCCTGCATCCAGCCAAGGTATCGAAGATAGCGTAAGATGATCGGGTCCTTCACGGCATAGTACCGCTCGCGCGCCGTCGCGAGGTTCCCCTCCTGCTGGAACTCAAACCAGTGCTCGTTGCAGACGCCCTCGCCATCCCAAAGGATGCAGTCATGTGGTAGGATGCTGAACAGCTCAATCGCCAAAACCATGCACCGTCGCTTCTCCATCACACACCAGTTCAATATCGAGATGAGGTGGATGTGCACGTGATGGTAGTGTTGGATTAGCTTGTTTCGAAGAACCTGCACGAGGTAGGGATTCATCTCAATCGCATGATATTCGCAGCGCGCGTACTCGGCGGGAAAGTGCTCCGCCAGGTAGTCCAAAACTGCGAGCGCGAGGGCACCAGTGCCTGCGCCGACGTCGTAAACAACTAGCGGCTCCCGCGGGTCGAACTTTGCGCGGTAAGTGGTCACCAGGTACTCGGCAATGACCCATCCATAAACCGGCTGGAATAGCTGCGTGGGGGTCACAAACCCGGGCGTCGATTCGTGGATTTTCGCGACGTAGGCTTGATAATCGTGCTGACTTCGAAGCGAAGTGAAGGGGATGGGGTCAAAGTAGCCCGTTGTCATCAACTGCCGATACTTACGAAACAGCTTTGGGTAGTAACCCCACTTCTTGTGATAAAGCGCAAACTGGATAAAGTCGCGCATGATGATGTGTGTTCCCAGACTAATACAGTCCGACAATGCCCCACCCTCGAAAACGATCATATCATCGAACATTTTCTTATGGCGCTCCACACGGCGCTCCTCGAGCTCCGCGCAGAGTTCTAAAAGACGTTCCTCGGTGCTGATGTTGTGTTTTGAGTTTATGATCGATGGTATCCCACCACTAACCATAACATCACCAAATTTAGTCTTTGCAGAAGCGACGTCAGATCCAGTGGTGTCAATGTTTGTGGAAAAGACAACAATACTAGAAGTCAACTCTACCGCAGACGCTGTGGATGTTGTCGGACCGTCGGATGATAGGGCCGATTCCGTCGCGCTTCTGCTATCATCGTTCGTATTATTAGTAACATCTCCACATTGCGGGGGCAGATTTCCTGCAGAAGAGGTCCCGCACGCCACACCGAAGTGCATCGAGGGTGCCTCCCCACCAAGGTTCCTAGAAGTGGTGGACACGTTGGTTTGTTGTTTAGATCCACTATCACTTGATTTCGCCTCTTTCAAAAGGCTTCGACTGAATAGACAAAGACCTATGTTGTAAAAGGGGATCTCAACGCTACTGCTGGATACAATTTCGTTTAATAAGGGAGGTCGAAATGGTAAGCTCCGCGTCAATGGTTGAAAAGATCGATAAACCAAAAATGTACCGCGGGAGCGGTGCATTAGCATTGTAAATGAATTCACATAGGGAGGAACAAGGAAGTTAGTATTCGACCAGCACTCATAACACACAAGACTAGCCTCATTCCAGTAGACCCTCTTCCACGTGATGGAAAAATAAAGCATGTGAGCTCGCCACTTCATGCTTTATAAACTGAGGATGAGGAGGATAAAGACGTAATTCTGCGTATGAATCTAAACTCATGTAACCTCCCTTAGAGAATAATAATAATAATAATAATAATGTTTGGATTCAAAGTAAAAGGTAATAACAAAAACATTCATAAGTAAAAAAAAATCGCACATAATAAATATTAGAGGAGTAAAATCTAACGCTAAAGACATTCTATTTTTATTTTCCATTAACCCTCCCCTAGACGATGGACGTGCTGGATACCAGCTAAGGAGCAGTATAAATTTAAAAAAAATCTACGATGTTATGGAGAAATATTCGAATGTACTCAGAATATAGAAGTAAAAATAATGAAAAGCTCTAGTCATTCAGTTTTTTGTCTTCTGTTTGCTGTTGGGAAAAAACAACTTGAGGACTAGAATAAATTTATATATACATAGTCCAATACAACACAACGGTCGCAGAGCATGTTGCAAAACTACCAAACATAAGGGAGCAAACAAAAAATTCTAAGACGACTATTTTTGCTGACAGATAACATTTACTCCACAATTTTGATACCAGATAATAGTAGAAAAACTTTAAAGGTTCATGTAAAATCTTATATAAAGTATTTCCCTTTATCATCATCAAGGATGCGAAATCAGGATGATTCAAACATACAAGTTTGGTTGTGCGCATGAATGTAAATATTATAAAGGCCGAATTTATTTTATCGCCAAATTAACTGAAACAATGTAGAAAGGCGAGGGGTAATAAATTAGAAAGGAACCTTTTATATATATAAATCTTTTGGTTATCCTCTTCATGAGTATTTAAATACATCTTTAGAGTTAAAAGGTTACCTGAAACAAAATGAAGATTTTTCACGTCATTTTCCATCATATTTATACACACCTCTTCACATTCACAATGATTTCTTGCAAACTAATAGGTGGAAAGAACCTTTAGAACCCGCCGGGTGGTCTATTTTAGTACCTTTTGCCGATCTATTTCTCAATCACATAACCGGCTCTCTTGGGAATTGTTGAGTGATATTGGGGTATTCTTCTTGAACCGAAAAGACAGGTTTCCTAGCGTATGGTACAGGCTTAAATTCTGTTCTAGAGCTCGTATTATCAAAGGTGTTTCTATTCAATCTCCTATCGTCTGCCATCGATTCCAACTCATTCAGGCTTTCACTTTCGTGAGGTTGATGAGTCACTATCTCACTCCTATTAGTTGTAGAATGGATGGGTTCACCCTTTCCCGGTTGATTAGAATGCTTTTTAAAGTTTCGGCGCCTCTTCAGCTCCATGCAGTTGAGGAATCCTTTCTTGGGAAGTCTCATGGCTGAAGTGACATAAGACCCCTCTTGTTTCTTCTTCTCACGACGCTCAAGGAGATAGTCGTATGTGGTTTGATGTGTACATCGTAGATAAATGTGAAAGTAGATCAACTTAGTGAGAAGTCCAGCACCGGCTAGACAAAGCCCTATTCCAATAAACACAAAAACCATAATGACCGGGAAAATCTTCCCATCGCTGTGGTAAGCGTGATTGTGCATACGCCGCTTGAAGCGATCGATATCGCGAAGCGCATCTTGGGCGAACCAGATACCCAAGCCCCCCAACCAAACGATGCCGATCCAAGATAAGCCAATAAAAACGGCAAACATCGAATAATTTCGCTCCCCCACACAGGTGTTGAGCCAACGGCAGTGGTGATCAAATCCGGGCACGCACTTATCACAGACGCTGCAGTGCTTGCAGCCCCGTTGGACAAACCGCCGGCAGAAGATACACGGCTCCGTCCCATCGGGCGCCACCTCGCGCGTGAGATCGTCCTGGTCAAGCCGTGGCGGGCCGTCTGCGAAGACCGCCAGGTCCTCCTGACGGAGGACCTCCAAACTCACCTTCAAGACCACCACGCTAACCAGCAGGACGAACGACACCCCCAACAGGACAATGAAGCAAACACCCGACAGGAATGGGACTTCAACTAAAAAAAAAATGAGTGAAATCAGGAGGATGTAGACCCATGACAGGATTTGTAGAAAATCGGGAGGCCACGAATAGCCATTGTAGCGTGGCCGAACTGGATCGCCGTAAATGTCTTTCCACAATCCATCAGTAGGTGAACTATTGCAGCAAGGCATACTAATTTTTTTTTCACTAGTCCCCCTCCTTTTAATTGCTTTGTTTACAATATTGATCCTGTGGGTGTTGAATCCTTGAGTTGGGATAATGATATAGTGAAAAATAGGTCCTAAAGAAAAAATTTCTAATTATAAAATCAGAATGATTTTTTGTGAAATCGCACATTAATAAATAAATTTATTAATTGGAATAAGATTTAGAAATAGTTCCTTTAAGGTTATCAAAAGAAAAGATCATCTGATCAAAGAAAAATATAATAAACCTGAAACTGATGCATTCATTTTATAAAAACTAACGAAGAAGTTACATACAGAAATAACTACTTACGAAATAACACGAAACAAAAAGGTAATTTTAATCGAAACGAACACATGACATAACATCCCTTTCAGACTTTCTTCCTTTCCCTGGCGCGTAATCAATTTCACGAATCCTTTTTACATCTTTACTTAATCCCAGGTTCACATAATAAAGAAATCTCTCGTGAAAATATGCATCACATAATAATAATAAAGGATACTCAAAAGAATAGAAGTAAACATATTGAGGTCCTCAAGGATATAAAAGAACCGATTTTTTCTAATCTTATACTTTTTTATACGCAAAGCGTAAAATCATCGAATATACTCTTCTCTGTTCGATCTATTTGCACTTCTTTATATTTTTTACTAGTAGTTTTGATCCTTTTCGCTGCAATATTACCCACAACGTAAAGGAAATCATCTTCAGAAATACAGAATTACTACATTGCAGTTGTCGCAGAAAAAAAACTTAAATACATCAAATTCGAACGATGAAAATGATCATAGGAATGGCAAAATACTAATATTAAAAACACATATAGCGACCCAATGTTATGTCGTAATGAAAATAACAATAATAATAATTTCACCTGGTTTCCTATCGCTCCCCAGGATTACTTCCCTGTCCGCCGTCGTTTTTGTCCTTTATTGATTAAATGAAGGGATAGAAAGAAGAGGGAGTGTAAGTAAAGAAAAACACATACTTAAGGATCAGCTACTTCCTATGACTGTTGTCAACATGGCAAGGGTGATGTGTATTGTACCCAAAGCCAAGTCAATAATATTATCCTTAGTCATATTAGATTTAGTGTTTATTTGTTATTTCTTTTTTCAACGCAAAAAAAATGAGGAACGAAGAAGGAAAAGAGATAACACATTTTTGAGATGGACTCATATTTCCTTAGATATCGTTAGCTCCTTGTCCATTTGTTATTTCTGGCGTTTGTAAGTTCGATCCCAAAGCATCTGCACACTCCGCCCGAATGCGGCGCTCTGCTTGGTAAGGTCTGTGATCAGCCTGTGTACCTCCAGTGCGATCCCTTCTTCGTACGTCTGAAAGTGTTTCAAAAGCTTCGTCTCCTCGAAAAGCCGCTTGACGATGGCGATTTTTTTTTCCTCATCTTGGCCATAGTTCTTTTTAAACACTTGTATTTGGTCTGGCGAGGCGACCTCTAAAAATTTCACGGCGAGCCAGGAGCATTTCGCGTCCTGGATGTCCGTCCCAACTTTTCCAAGCTTCTCCGGCGGCGTAAAGCAATCCATCACGTCGTCCTGGACCTGAAAATACTCCCCAATCACCATCGCAAGGTTCTCGACCCTTGCGGCGTCCACCTTCTCCGCGCTCTCGCTCACAAGGAGCCCAAACATCAGTGGAAGCCAATAGGTGTAATAGGCAGTTTTGTATTTCACAATCCTCCCGTAATTAAACGCCGTGTACTCGACATAATCAGTTGTTTGCGGGTGCGCAGTGTGTGCGTCGAGCTTGCTCGAGTCTACCATCGACGTGACATCGTAAAGCTGCCCGATGGTGGTGGTCAAGTCGACCTCGTGAAAAATGCGAAGGACTTCGGCCAAAAACGGTCGCCCCGCGAGAAAATTCGAGGCGATGGCGTTCGCCAGAGCGAGGAGAATGAGCCCGTCGTTAATCGCGACCTGCTGGGTAACCCCGGGGTGTAAATACCAGCACGGCTTGCCCCGGCGGACCTTGCTGCCGTCCATAATATCATCCTCGACGAGGAAGTGTGCCTGAAGAAGTTCAATCATCCACCCACAAATGCACGCGTCGTGCAGAATGCGCGCCAATGTGGCGTCATCTACGCCCTGATCTTTCGCCATCTCTTCTGCAACGTTAACAACGCAGACCCCTCGATTGTACTTTCCACAAAGACATGTTGTATCCAACATGTCTTTCATGTATTGTTTGCGATGGACGTCCATTTGGTATTTTTTCTCCAGAAAGGAGAGCGCAAATTTCTGGATCTCATCATAGACTTTCAGAAATCGTTCAAGGTTTGACATTGAACTCAACGCAAACGATATCGAAAAAAGGAAAAAAATGATAATAATCTGAATTGTTTTATGATGGTTGATAGTGTTGCGGTAATGAGAGAAGATGATTCATAGCCTCAGAAATGCGAAACAGAGATCTGATATGATAGCAAATGAAGGACTAAAATCATATCAATCCGAGAAGTGCATAAATATGCGTGCTTCAAAAAGAAAGTTGGTTGATGTTCATATGTCAGCAAAGAATATTACAAATCTATTTATATGTTGATTTGCAATATATGAACGCAAAAAAAAGATATATCACAATATGTTCTTCCGGGTTTGCTTACATTATAAAACATACTTTCACATTGAACCTACGACAAATTTTTGAAAATATCGGAACAAGATAAATACAGTATTCTTCTAGCATATTAGCACCACCAAAAAAATCGAGATAAAGACCACATCACATATAGTTATTTGCCCAAAAATAATAATGTGAATATCTTCCCTATTATACAATTAGAAACGTATTCAAGCGTGACGCTAGCAACACCTTTTCCTTACATACGGGCACAATGAACACTTTTTTTTTCCCCATTGCGATGTGTTTAACTAAACGGATGTACTTCTCAAAAATCTAAAAAAACGGGGGAATTTTTCAATGAAATCACTGCATCTTCATCTAAGTATTTTATGTTTTTTTTTGTGTGTATATGAGTGGAGAGGAAGATGAATTCATATGTATCCGTGGACATTCTTGTTTACCTTATTTGTTACACACTATTGAATTCATTGTCCTCTCTTTCATACTTCTTTCCGTTTCGTTCTTTTTTTTTAATTGCCCAGGCTAATCGTCGGCGGACCAGCCGATCCAGCCAGACGTGCAGGATCTTTGAGCTGAATATTCAGCTCATCCACGATGCGCAAACACTCCGCCTTAATAGGTAAATACTGCACCTCCTTCTCTTTTAATCTTACGAAGTCCTCCAGAGTAAAGGCCGATTGCCATAACATCCGCAGCTTTTGTTCCTGTGTGGTAAGTGATTGATTAAAGCTGTCAGTGTTTAACTTCTTCTTTTCCGCGTTGTAATCGTTCATTGCGGCATTTACCAACTTTGTACCCTTATCTCGGATGCATTTAAAATATGTTAGCTGCTCTTCCAAATCATTCCGCAAGGCGTCTACCTCCTGACGTAACCCGTCCAAATCCTCATAGCGCTCGATCTCCGCCCGCTGCTCCGTCATCTTAGCGTTTTGCGACTCTAACTCCTCCTTGATCTTGTTATCCAGATGGGAGACCTTCTCGAGTTCTGTCTTCCGCTCCATTAGTTCCTTCTCTAGTCTCTGGTGGGTGCGCTGGTCGTTTTTGATCTGCTCCTGCTTTGCGTCGACCTCAGTGGTGAGGACCTGCAGGGAGCCAGGGTTTCCGCCCGTGGGGAGCTGCCGCTGGAGCTCGAGCGCGCGCGAGATTCGCTCCAGCAGCGTTGTGATCTCCTGCTGCTCCCGCTCAAGTTTCCCGAGCGCCTCGCGCTCCTTGTCAGGGTAATCATCGAGGAAGACCTGCATCTCCTGTTCCTTCTCTTTCAGAGCCTGGTAGGCCTTGACGTTCTCGCTTGTGTAGTTTTGAACCTCGTCGTCAAGCGTGCTCAGGAGCGTTTTCGACTCATCGAGCGCGTCACAAGTGTCGGCGATCTGCCGTTTGAGGGCCTCGATATCGGAGCGGGTCGCGAGGACCTTTTTCATCAAAAGTTGCTTTTCCTCCTCAACGGAAAGGGCGCACTCCTTGGCAAGCTCATCGCGCTCGCGGCGCTTGCGCAGGATCTCGCGCAGCAGTTCCGCCGCCCGGCGCCGGCTGCCGTCCTTCTCAAGCTTCGTCATCAACAGCTCCTGCTTGGCCGTCAGGGTCCGAACCTCATGCTGCCGCTCGAGAACCTTCTGGGATACCGCGAAGGCCTCCTCACGGATCGCCTTGTAGGTGTCGTGGTCCTGGTTGTCCGAAAGGAGCCGGCGGTCAAGGCCCTGCATTTCCTCATCCAAGGCTTTCATGTTCTCTTTGATTCTCCCTTCTGCTTCCCGCAGGTTGAGAAAGAGTTTGTCAACCTCCTTCCGCCGCCGCGTGTTCTCCTGTGCGAGTTGAGCGTTTTCTTTTTGCATGCTCGCCAGGTCACGCGTGTCGGAGCTCTCGATCGCGAGGTTGACGTCGGCGAGCTGGCCTTTCAGCCCCCCGACTTCCTCCTTCAGAGCGCGCGCCTTTTGCTCGAGTTGGACAAGGACAGCGCCGTTCTTCGCGATCATCCGCTCCTCCTCGTTCAGCCGCTCGATCTCGGCGGAGAGCTCAGCGATCTTCGGGCGGAGAAGGCCAATATAGTAGCTGCGATCGCCGACCTGCCGGGCCGGCCCCGCGGAAGTGCCCAATCCCCGTCGAGAGGCCGCCCGCACTCCTTCGCGAATCACCGCCGGTTGCGCGCTGACCGAAATGGACTGACGGATGCTCCCGCCCACCCCGACCACGGCGCCGCGAGTGCTCCCCGTTCGCATCGCACTCCCTGGGGGAACCCCTGTCAACGGGTTATTCATCTTGAAAGCAAATCAACAAATAATAGACCCTGTAACAATTGTTACAACCCAACCAGTTTGATAAGCCTTTATATTTAATACAATGAAGGGTGTGTTGTTTCTGTTACACAATGGTAGGGTTTGGCTCCTCAGACACACTCTGCTTTAGTTTTGATAGTGAGGGGGGGGGGGGGGGAGGTCTTTATTGAAGTTATGGGAGGCTGGAGATAAGGAGGATAGACGGCGAAAGGCCTTGTTTGGGTTGAGACTTCCTAAACGCTGGTAGCTCACGACACGACGTACGACGTGGAAAAAAATATATATGATGAAACTTGTAAAAGAAATAATAGCAAAAGTGTGTTGATTAAACTACATAACACGAAATAATTGAATGAAGAATTCAACACGGACAGTTTACGTGATAATATTACACATTATTATTATGTCAACAACCCCGAAGAAGTATCCATTATGTTGCATTTACAAAAAATATATATTGTTAGCTTTACCCGATGGAATAATGTGACGATTTTTTTTCACAATGTATTTAGTTATTACCTGTAGAAAACAAAACAAAGAGCATGTATTCACATTTTAAAAAATTGTGATATTACCTTTGTCGTGATGTCAAGCATGAAGGAGGACAATGCAAAGCAGGAAAACGTATCAAAAATAGAAATACAGAAAGAAATGAAATCTTTCCCGAGAACTACCATAATTCATTTTCTTTCTGAAAAAAATTTTGAAGTCCTCTACCAATCTGACTCATCTATCCGTACACGCCGCGTCGTTCGTGGTTCTCGTTCTACTTCTTCCTCAATAACCAACTTCTCGCGGCGGCATCGAGCGTTGTTAATACTACCCTTATTATTCCTTACTACATCCTTTACTTTACGTGATTTAACCGTCGATAACGTACTTGGTTCATCTTCCTCCAGCTCCTCTTCTAAATCCTCCTCCTCATCCATTACAAACTCAGGGAACTCCTCATCCTCGCCCGCTTCTAACGCATCAAACTCCTCCCGATTCTCCTCCTCATCGAGAAACTTCTCAAAGACTTCCTTGCTTGCGTTCATCACGCTATCATAGGTACCCCGACGAAGACGATCTAAGAGTTCCTTCTCAATTTCCATCTCAATCCGAGCAGCCGCCTCAGCCTTCTCCTCCCGACGAAGGAGTTTATCCTCTTGCCGTTTGTTCACCGAAACATACTTCACCTCCGGCTCCATCAGCATCTTCCGCTTACGCATCAAATACTGCTTCAGACGCAATAGACGGGCCTTAATCTTATTTACTAATTTCTGATCCCACCACTGGAGCTCCTCGTCAATTTGTTCGAGTGCCTTTGGAAAGCTGCTGTCAAGTTTAACTTTTTCCCATTGTCGCCGTGGAAGGTGGACGCGCTCGGCGGTTTTCACGTAAAGATAAAGCTCATCCTCGTGCTCGATAACCGTGGCGTACTGTCCATTTGCTAAAGGGCAAACCCCGCGCTGACATAAACCGGTGATGTTGTAAGGATTTCGACAAAAACGCACCTTATCGTCATGAGTCTTTACCTTGAAAGAGCAAAATCCCTGCCCCATAACATTCCACATTGCGTCATCGTGGTTCATGACTTATTTACTTTAGTTAATGATTACTTAAAAAATGTAGTAAGGGTAATTGTAAGTTTCAGATATATGTGCTGATATTGGATAAATATATATCTATATCAATATTAAGTATATATAGGTTTATTGATACTTCTAAAAAGGGGTAAAAATAAGCCCTAGTAGTATTCCTTTCCTAAACCAGTACAAAGGGACAAAAAAAACATATATGAAGACATTGTGAAGCAAAATAAAATAAAAGTAAAGAGATCGTAACAAAATATTCAAATATGCATACCCTGGAAAACTAGCATTCAGGATTAAATGAATCATATTCTGCCCACACTTTTCTTAAGTCTTATCCACTTTCAGAACCGGTGTTTTATGAGGAAACGGTGAATATATATATTTTACTGAGGGATATCGTTCTTAGTCTTTTTTCCCTCCATTAAGCGATCAAACCTTCCAGAATCTTACTCTAAGCGCATGATGGAACCCAAAAAGCGCGAGATCTCCTTCAATGCAACACGCCCGAAGTCAATTCTTAGACTGTGCAGCCTCGCCGCCTCTGTAAGCGCGCGCTCGATATCGCCGCGAAGGAAAAGCGTTATAATTAACTGCGCTCGCCGAGCGTGATCGGTGGGAGTTGTATTTAATATCTCCTGGAGTTTACGCTCACTACATGTTGCGGCTATCCAAGGTAAAGGAGCGGCAATCAGCAGCCGATGGAGGGCACACGCACGACATTCATCACTCAACGGCTCTTCCGTAAACGTGAAAAAAGGACCCTCCTCACAAACATTACTGCTTTTGTTTCGTCCTCCAGTAAGGCGTTCAATAAAGGCGTTGTGCAGGACCTCTTTGCCTTGGACGAGCTGCGCGATAGCTGCCCACGCAATACAGTACGCCACACTTCTCGTATAATCATGCGGAATAAAATCCGCTTCCCCTTCATTTGTTCGTTCGCCTTTACACACTTCCACTTTTAAAGCATCCAAGATCTTCAATGCCTTCACAAAACACTTTTCAGCATAATCTGCGCGGTCCTTACAAAGTAAATTCTTACCCATTTCTATAATTTGCACCACGTCCACGCTCAATGTTTGCGTTTCGATATTACTATGGTTGTGAAAACTTTGAAATGCATTTACATCATTCTCTCCTTGAAGAAAAGGAAAGGAATTTTTGCAGTGGATATGAGCAGTTACTTTGCTTCCTTGGTAGAGTGCTAACCTCTCACAAATGCGGGAAATCGTGTCCTTGGTTAAGACGTCTAAGGGGAGGTCGCGAAAGGAATCAGCGATAATTCTGCGAAATACAATCACAAGCAGTGGAAATCCTTTTCGTTTAAACAACTGCTCTTTGGCATCGATAAAGGCATTGTTGGTAGAATACCAAAGAAATAGTCTCACTTCAGCCCCATGCTGCATCGCACTGCTCTCGACTTGTTGCTGAAATGCGGAAATTCCATCAGCGGACACCCCTGCATCTCCACTTTCATAGAAAAGCAACAAAGAATCAGAGGGCGGAGAATGTTGAAGTTTACCTGGGGAATCATCAAATTGTTGAATCCCTGAGGCACCTTCGTCTACGTAAAATATGCGTCTAAAGTCATCTACACTACATACAAAGCTCACCGGAACAGACATATTTTCTAATGAATGGAATTCGTCAAGTCTAAGACGATTAACCGTACTGAGAAAAAAGGTAGAAAAAAAAAGATGAAAAAGCCCACGCTACTTCCAAGATACACATATAAATGAATCAAAAAAAATAACAGATGTCTAAATGTTTTCCATATAAATAAGTTTTTTCCATTTGCATTTTTACCCTAAAGACGATATCTTACATGCGCAAATGGATAAATGAGTTAAAAGTAAAACATAATTTACAATATAAAATAGAAGAAAATAATAGTAAAAAAGCTCAAGTGGTTCTAATATTGGTATGGGAAGTTTTAAAATTAATATAGTATTTTTATAGTATGTCAAAGAGGAATTTGTGAAAGCTATAGAAGCTTTCAAGTAACTCAAAGAGTGTTGATGTTGATATTGTAATCTAATAGTTAAATTTGTTATATATATTTATTTATTTATCTAACTACTTGATAAGTTCAACCTAAGTTTATAAGCGTTACTAATGGTGATACATTGAAATCGATTTCCGACTGTCGCTGCTGATGTCATCGAACCTTGTTTTTTTCCCTCTCGAAAATCATAAGAAGGATTTGAATTGTTGGAGGAGGGGAGGTAGTTAAAATCATCATTCATGCTATCACCCCCATCTCCGACCGGCTCTCCATGGGACCAAACGCCATCATACACCCCGCACCCGCTGCCTTTTAAAAAGCCAACTCCATCCTTTTCATCCTCCCACCATTCGCCATCGTATTCAACAATTGTAGCACCGCTCGATTTGACAAATTTACCACGACCATGCCGCTTACCATGCACGAACTCCCCAAAGTAAGTCGCGCCACCCGCCTCTGGTGAGGCTCTAAAGCAACCTTTCCCGTGAAAAAGCCCGCGATCCCACTGTCCGTTATACGAGCTCTTATCCTCAAACACGCAAACCCCGCTCCCACACATGTTATCATACGCCCATGACCCCTCATAATGGAAAAAAGGACTTTTATAAATCCCATACCCATGTCGCCGCCCTTTCACCCAATCTCCAATATAAATATCGCCGTTAAAGAAAAATTTTGTACCCCGTCCGTTCTCATATCCAGCACTCCAGCCCCCCTCATACCGACTTCCACTCCGGCAAATATAGACCCCATTCCCCTCGAAGAGCCCATCCCGCCAATGCCCTCTATACACCCGCCCGTCATAATAGGTGTACTCCCCATACCCGCTCAGGTGATTGTTAATAAACTCCCCGACGTAGATCCCTTCCGGCTCGACCAGCTCGCCTCGGCCGTGGCGCTTGTTATCGAGCCAGGCCCCGCTGTAGATCGTTCGATAGCCTGGTGAGCTCAAGGTGCCCGTGCCACAGCGGTGGCCAAGAAACCATTGCCCTTCGTAGACCTCCCGCGTCGCGGCCCGGATGAGGCTGCCCTTACCGTGTAACAGGCAGTTCTTCCAGTTCCCCTCGTAGACGTCCCCATTGGGAAAAAGAAATGCCTGATAGCCGTCGGGCACGAGTGAGGTCCGCCGCTCGCGCACGGCAATCGCGATCTCTTCCAGGAAGCGCGCGCTTTGCTGGAGGGCAACTTGCTCGACGTCGATCAGCGTGGCGCGGCGGGCCTGCTGCAGGAGGAGGAGTTCCACGCAAAGCCGCCGTCCTCCCTCCTCCGCATCGCTCTCGGTGACGTGGAGCTCAAAGGCCTGTCGTGCGAGGTGTTGGGCATCTAGGCTCTTCCGTAACAAAGCCGCGGTACCGGGTGGGATCTGAAGCTCAGTAAAACAAGAGGAGGAGGAATGGAGGAATCCCGAAGTCCCTGAAAATCCACCGGGACAGATACTGGCGAAATTGTGTACCTTACCTATGTTAGTTTTGTTTTTAATAGGGGATAGGGTTTGGGAAACTAGGGGAGGAGATGTTGTGGGGTTCTTGTTTATCGAATCACAAAGGAGGATCGCGTTGCTCAGATTTGAGGCGTAAATATCAGTGGTTAAATGGTCGTGCTTTGGATCTAAGGAAAACACTTCGTTTTTTATTTTAGGTTGTGAATCCAAGGTTGAGACATCTGTTGGCACGGTGCTATCGACTAATTCACAAGGTGTGAGCTGGGAATCCAACATTATTGGCATGAACAGGGGTGAAGAGAAGAAGAAAATACACAATTCAATGGGAACAAAAAAAAAAAACTTGAGTCTAGTATGTGTATCAAAATGTATTCTTATTTTTCCCCTATTAATGTTTATCTAAATCTTTTCCAACAGAATTATAGGGTGAAATAAAAAGTGATATAAGTGAATCGTCACTTAAGTCGTAATTAACGAAGTCTGCCTGATACAGAAAAATGAAGAGAAATCAGCACATACATATTTAGCATTCTTAAGAATATTATATAATTCTTGTGAAATAGGAATCACCATTTGGGTATCAATAATAATAAGAAACAAATAGAAACTACTTCTATGCGGAAACTCGAAATCAGGAATAAATAATATAATTCAAGTTATTTATAACTGATTAGGAATAGCTTTACCCCCATTATCCTCATTGATTTCCTAGATTGCAGTTATATTGAACCTTACTCCACTGAACATATCGTTTATTCCTATAATTTATCTAACACCTTTATTTTATTTTCTGACGGGTTTCGTTAGAAAAATGTATAAATATATAATGGACTTTTTCACTATATTATTTTCCCTTCATTTGAATCATAACATTCTTAAATTCCTCAAAAGAAACCTCACCATCACCATCCTCGTCCGCCTCGGCAATCATCTCTTGCAAAACATCATCCCCAGGGCTTTCCCCCAGCATTTTCGCCACCTCTTTGAGATTGGAAAGTGATATCTTTCCCCTCTTATCTAAATCAAAAAGCTTAAATGCCATGAATATCTCCTCCGGAGAATCCTTCTGTGCCATGCGCGACTTTATCATCTTTTCAAACTCTTCGTATTCAATGAAACCGCTGGCATTGGTTTTCATCGAACCAATGATGAGCTCTACTTCATTAGACGAAAGATCGCCGAAGCCGAGGCTTTTCATGGCTAATGCCATCTCCTCCGCATCAATGGCTCCAGATCCATCAATGTTGAAGAGGTTAAAAGCCTCACGTATTTGCACATCAGTAAGCGCAGCCATGTATAGAATGATAAGAGTTTTCTATTGTTGTGTTTGTAATAATAAAGTATAGAGTACAGGCTCCTTATATAGGTTAGTCTCCTTTTCTGTATGTTTGCAGTTTACTAATTTCAAGGCTAGAAAGAGTGAATTGGTGAAATGAAACGGTTAACAGAAAAATAGATGTGTCAACTGCAAGCATACAAATAATGATAACGAAGTTCCGGAATACTCTAAAAGCAGATAAACAACAATAAAAAGGTGAATATGTATTTTTATTTTCTTGAACTCCTGTTATTAATACCGATTCAAAGCTGGATAACATATTGTGACGTAAATACAAAGACATATAAATAAATACTAATCTTTTCAGACACTAAATAGAACAAAGAAAATTGATAAATCAAATCATAAGATAAATCGCATTAATTCACTCAAGTAAAATTTTAGACACACGTTCCTCAAGACAATACAAACTAGCACTGAAAAGCACATCACCACAACAATTCCACACCAAAGACTCAAGAAGCCAAAGGTACAGTGTTTCCAGAACGACCTCATAATCTCCCTCTCCCACATACAAGAAAAAAGTTGCACAGAGTCTCCAAAAATAAAACCACCGCAATGAAAGGTGCATATGAAAT